TTTGCAAGTGTGGGCATTGTCTGTTCCGTGATTTTGTCATTAACGATGTTGATTTCCAACGTGTCCATGGTCACGAGGCTCCGATGTGGCTCACAGAGACGGCGCCTGGGGAAACTCTATGTTGCTGTTGTGCTCAACATCATCTTCTTCTTTGCCTTAGGGATGCCTTTCAGCGTAAATTCTTTCTTTAATCTTTTATATTATGGTTTTCTATTTCCTGAAACGGTGACTCTGGTGCTGGCTCTGCTGAACAGCAGCATCAACCCAGTCATTTACTTCCTGGTGGGGAGCTGCCGGCAGCGCCGCTTCCAAGGCTCCATCCAAGTCGCCCTGCGCAGAGTGTTTGAAGAGAGAGGAAGGAGCAAGGAGGAGAGCCCCGTGCCTGAGGGCATCCCCATGGAGAGCACTGCCCAAGGCCCTGCTGGGGAGGGGGAGGCCTGAGCTCTGCTCCCTGTTGCAATCACCCTGTCATGAAGGGGAACATAGCTGAGAGTTGACTCCCTCTCAGGGCTGAGGGACATAACAAAGGATGCCGTTTGCCACAGTGTGTTCGGCTGAGTACATACGTTTATGTTCATAGTGACTGTTTGTCAGAAAGAGACAGGAAGCAGAGGGGTGCAGCTGTTCTATGACCTTCATACTTGGACACACGGGGGTGCCTGGCCAACGCTCTCAGCGTGGACCATGGTGAGATCATGAGAAACTGCATGGTCCCATGAGGACACAATCCGCGATCTGGCATAAAGCCGGTTGTTTTGATATGGGTATAAAAGCAGGAGCCGCTTGTGGCCGTGGGAGAAGCCTCACCTACAGGTGCACGCACAGCATAGGAATTGTCCCAGTGACCTGAGAGTCCTGGCATCAGCTGCAAGGGGGCTTCCCATCTGGAAGTGTGGGACTGGATGATGATTCAGTGGTAAGTGGTGATGAATTTCTTTTTAATCTCTGCTGTGTCTATACAGTCATGCTTGATGCATTGCAATGTTTCTTCGGTACTTCAGTTACATATCTGTATCTCTGATTTGCTTTATTGTACTTATTCACTGTATATAGTGAGAGATATTTACCTAATTCACGTTAGTGTGATTGCATTAGTGCGCTTATTGGCTTTAATGAGCTTGTTAAATAAACTGCGCATATTATACAGGTAGCCTGTGTCATTTTGTGGCATATTCTGTCTGTCAGCAGAACAGACCCTTATGGCCTTGACCCCATGTGTGTACTTTGGCTGAGCAGCTGAGTGTTGCGGTGCTTTGGGGGAACTCTTTGCCTGAAGAAGCTGTGAGAGAGATGCCCTCGTGGATTTCTGGCCATGGATGAGAAACCTGCTGTAGTGGAAGGTGTCTCTGCTCGTGGCAGGTTATTGGAACTGGATGAGCTTTAAGGTCCCTTCTAGTCCAAATCATTATGTGATTTTATGATTTTGTGCATTCCGTCTCCTATCTGTTCTTACCCTTCCCCTCCACCTTACCTTATGTCGTACAGAGCCATCTATGTTCACTCCTTGTTCATGGCCATGATCCCTGTTGAGCTGTGTGCCTAGCGTTGGGTATCTTTGTCATTTTTTCTGTTTGCGCTGGTTTGCACCCTTCCATTTCTCTTTTCTTCATCATCTTTGAAAGGATGAGGTTTCCAGCCTCATGCACATGGTTAATGGTGCACTTGCGCCCTCATACAGGCTACTGGAATTGGCAACTTCATGTCTTATTTCAAAGCTGTGAAATCAACAGTGCTAGAAATTCAACTGCAACAGCAGTTGCCCACCAGCAGTAAGGTTATTTGGCATTTTGCATCAGTAATTCCCCTCTTTGGTCCAGTGTTGAGCCCAGCAACAGCAGAACTTATTGCCTAATGTGTGGAACAGTGAGTTTTAACCATGAACATAGATATGAGCCCATAGAATCACATAATCATGGAACAGTCAGGGTCAGATCTCCTGATTTGGTTTTGCTCCTGATTTTTTTTCCATCTTCCCCTCCTTGTTAACACCTAAACCATACCCAGAGCAGTCTCAGCTGGGAGAGATCTGTATTTTCATCATGACCTTCCTGCCTGATATTCTCTTCAAGGCATGAATCAAACCCATTACGTTTTTATCTGGTCACCACCTGTTGCACCCAGAGGTTTTTCTTACAGCCAATAGTAGCATTTTTGTTTAATCTACTACCCTATAAAGAATATCACAAGAATTCCAAGGAGTTTGTTTTGCTATAGAGACCCCCTGAACAGTAAAACAAAGATTGAAGGTGGGAGATAGCGCCTGCAGAGATCGGTGGAGGAGTCACCTCACTGAATAGTGACGTTAGGTTGAGTTCAGAGGAGCTGTTCTCAGAGTATGCTTAACCTGAAATTTGCCAAGTTTAATTATTTTGATATAATGAATAATCACCTCTCCCTGCCATGACTGCTTCACTTTTGTCCTTAGCTCATCTGCTTGTCCAAGGTATGCTTTCTCTTTGGATGCCATCAAGTTTTCTGCCTTGTTTTCCAAACCTTCCAAATTCCTGTCCAGTTCAATGCCAGGGGAGATGTAGTGGCACTTTACTAACCTGAATAGAAAAAGTAAAATGATAGTACCTGTACTTTAAAGTTTGGGGTAATTCTAACATCTTAAATAGCATTCGCATTTTGATTCTAGCCTCAGATGACATCTGTTCCCTTAGGGAAAAAACAAAGTAGGTGGCATATTGAGGATTAAATATGGCATAACAGAGGCCATGCAGATTGTCCAAGAGCCCATGCAACAGCCTGGGCCTAGCTCTCTCCTTGGCTCAATTCCTTGATGCAGGGATGTGTCACACTGTTTGAGATGTACTCAAAGCATCCCCTGCTGCCTGAGCTGGGTGTGAAGAAGGGAGAAAGGCCCCTTTGCTGCTATGTGAGTGATTTTTGAAGGTGCATGAAAGGAGTAAAAATGAGGATAAATGAATTCTGCCATAAAGGTATATTCAGAAATGAGGACGTCCTTGACCAGAACTAATAATCCTGCCTGTGTTCTCCAACACCTTGTGCCTCCCCTCTGTGATTCCAGAAAAAAAATGCTCTGGATTTCTTCTGGCCAGGGCTTCATGGGACACCCACAGGGATTTGAAGCAGATGCCATGAGAGAGCGTCTGAAAAGTCTAATCTGCACCAGGTAACACCTTTTGATATCAGGCCTCACTGAGACTCCTTTACTGTGCAGGACTGTGTGGTGCGTGCCTTCCTCAGCTGCTTCTGAAGCTCTTCTGCACCACCATCAGCCCCAGAAGCTCATCCCTTCTTTCATTTCCCTGCAAATATCTGGCAGATGCCAGCCATAAGAACATTAGTCTTTCATCATGGACAATTGAGGGTGTCTATGATGGTGTTTCTATGCAGGCATCACCTTTTAAAGGTCCAAGGTTGGAAGTAAAGTGTTCACATTGATGTGATGTGTAAAATGTGTTCACATCAACTGCTGCACACTGGGTATGTTTAAGGACAAACTCAGGAGGGAAAGGGTTATATGTTTATAACACTTTAAATGGTTTTATCAGTTGATGGCTTCTTCTGAGCACAAGAATATTTTTAAATGCAAATTGTTTTTCCTTTAAAAAAAAGGGGTTTATTATTTTTTACAATAACAAAAAGATTCAGTTCTCCCAGTGATAAAATCATTACAGACATTCAAAACGAAACACTTAGAACATGTTTTCTGATAAAGGGATACTCTCTTCCCCTCAGCAGTAGAAGTTAGAAGGAAAATAAACCACCTTACTAAAAATAATTGATGACACAGCCCTAATCTGAATCAACTGTATGTACATTGCAGAAGAGCAGAACATTAAAGAATACTGGAAATGGAACTCAAATTTCAGCTTTCAGGAACTGTAAACAGGAAGCAAAAAGCAACAAGATAAAGATAATAGACAACAGAAGAATGCATCTTCCCTTTAGGAAAGTATTCACAAATGAAGGTATGAAATGGAAATCTGGAGGGTTTCTCAAAGAAAATGACCTGTGTTGCCTTTTCCTATATAGTCTGGTTAAAAGTGCTAATGTTAGGTAGTCTGATAGTACCCCCTTTCAAATAATCACATATTTCATCTCAAGGGTCTAGAAAATAATTTGTTGCAAATTGTGGTGTTCATTTACCTTTTTTCTGTTTCTTATTTTTTTCCTCTACCCTTGATTTTAATTCTGTCAGTAAAAGGGGATGTTAGAAGCCATGGGTTCTTATCAGTCCTTCTTAAAGGGAGGAATAACAACCCAATGCGTGCTGTAGTTAGTAAGATGAAGATACTCCTTCTTGGGCTGGAGGAAGGTAAAGTAATATGCAACTCCAGTCCTGTATTTCTTTGAAACACAAGAAAAGGGAGAATGCAACTCAGTGTATAAAGTTTTAAGGCAAGTTGGTAGGGGCTGGGGCCCCTTCGTACTGCATCACAACTCCGTGGTATATGGAAACTTCCCTTGCTAATAGAAGAAAGGAACTTCCAGGGCATGAATCATTTCACCATTTGAAATGAGCATGAGAGAGCAAAGAATTGCGCACCCTATGAGCTGCAGAAAATGACATGTGTGGCTGAGATACAGGTATTTAACATGAAGTGAGATAGATAGAGTCCTTCCAGGAATTTCATGGCTGATTTCAACAGGAGGAGGATAGGTTCCTATCTCATTTTCAGAGACCTGAGTAAAAAGTGACTGAAATTTGTGAGTTTGATATTGTTGTACTCTAAAAGACAGAGATTTATTGAGTGAACTGCAAATTCTGAGTGGGATTCCTTTGATGTAATGCAGACACCAAGATATTCTACCTTACCAAGCTGAAATCCTTTAATGGGCACTGAAGAGAAATAGATACTTTCAATGTAGTCCTAACAGAGGTCAGGTAAACTCTGTGGTCCAGATGTTTATTTGTTTTCTCTGACCATTGATGGAGCTTAAAATAATTAGCTAAAGGCTGGAGATCCACAATGAAGATACTGGAGGTCATGTGAGATAAACCCACCCCAATATCTCAGAGATCTTCAGCCCTCAGCTCCAGACCAGTGCTGCTGTTATGCACAGGATGGGTTTAGGAAGACATAGTGATTGTGTCATGGGTTTCCCGCTCATCTTTGTCATCTGCTGAATCTTCAAAGGCCCTCTGGAATGCCAGCCTGAGGGTAAACTTGATTCTCCGATCCCTGTAGCTTCCCACCAGGAAGTAAATGACAGGGTTGAGGGTGCTGTTCACACAGGACAGCACGAAACCGATCTCTGGGGAGTAGAGAAATTTGTAGCCCAAGAAGTCAAAGAGGATCAGGATACTCAAAGGCACAGCAAAAATGAGGAAGAAGAGAACGGTGAGCATGATGACGGTGAAAAGCCTGCCCGTTCGGAGGTGTTGGGAGCTGCACTTGACTCTAAGGAAGAGGATAAGGCTGAAGAGCAGCATGAGGGGTGTGCAGAATATGAAGTCCAAGGCTCCAATGGTGATGAGCAGGATCTGGCAGGTCCCAGCAGAGCGGTGCACGGAACACAAAACATACCCAAGAGTGTTCAGCAGCAGGGAGATACCCCAGAGCAGGCCAGAGATGATGGCAGACAAGTGCTTTGGGCGGTGACTTCTGCACCAGATGGGACAAAGCACAGAGAGGGACCTCTCAATACTGATGGCGGTCAGGAGGTACAAGCCAGTCCCATACATGAAAAGATCCAGGAAGAGGAATATCCCAAACTGCACCCCCACGTTGAACTGCATCAGGTACTGAACCGTCTCTATGGCAATGCAGAGGAGGTACCCAAAGTCGGCAGCAGCCAGGTTCAGGATGTAGACTGTGAAGTGGTTTCTCCTGATGCGGAAGCCAAGATACCATAGCACCATGCCATTACCCACCATGCCACAGGCAGCACTGATGAGGCAGAAGCTCTCCATGAACTTGAGGACAGCATAGGATGGCTCTGTCTTTCCCACAGCCACACTCTGATTAGTCCCAAGAACCTGACTGCTTGCAGTTGGAAGGAAGATTGACATGGTTGAAGTACTCATCATGAGGGATTTCAGACAGACCTGTAAGCAGAAAGGAGAGAGGTAACTGGTGTCGCTTTCCCTCATGGTGACCTGATGGTGTTTCTGGATTTGGTTCATCTCTTTGTCGCCAGAGCTTGATTTAGGGAGGGATTGCTGTGTTTGGACTTGGAACACAGAGCTCTAATGCACTGTTCAAAGCATTGACCCCAAATTCTATATGACATGTAGGAAAAGTTAAACTACACTGTTTGTCCCTTCTTAAAACTCAGTTCCTGAGGGCCCTTTTTGCAGTCGGTACTGGGAAACAAATAGCTTAAAAAAGCAATTACAGCTGAGATGAATCATGTCGGAAAAGTACCTCTTGTGTGAATAAGAAGAGCAAATCCAGTGTTAACAACGAGATAGCTGTCTTTCCTTCCTGTCGCTAAGATTAGGTGACAAATCTTGTTAAAAGGGTGTGAAAATTGTAGGCAATCAGCATACAAGTTTAATCAGCATGAAATCCGATTGAGTTTTGTCCATGCCCAGAAAACATGTTAGGGAGTACTCAAAATAGCTTGTAGGTTTTTATGTCAATGATTGATTTCTAGTTGAGTGAGTGTAGTTTAATGTGGTTGGTTTGTTCTCTTGAGCCCTATGTACAGAAAATAAGTAATTCAATCTGAGGAGTCAGCCCTTAATAACTTAATTTTCAGAAGGAAACTTTAAGAACTGCATGTGGGATAAAATTCCCCTCATTGGGGTCAGGTCATTGGAATTATGGCTCAATTATTTCACCTCATTCCCTGGGGTGGTTCACCCTGCTTCTTCCTGTATGATACTGGGATATGAAAGAGAATGGGAAGGGAAAGAAGTATCATGAGCGACAGCAGGAGCTAGTTAAAAAGAAGAGAGGAACAAGACAAAATGGGGAGAGCTGGGAAGATGTGACTCATTGAACAGTCCAATCAGCACGAACAGGCTGTTCTGTTTCCATAAAATGCTGTGGTATAGATGGAGACAGACTCCCATAAGCACGCAAAATATGACAGATTGAATCAAAGAAGTGGTAAATGCCCCATCCCTGGCAGTGTTCAAGGCCAGGTTGGATGGGGCTTGGAGCAACCTGCTCTAGTGGAAGGTGCCCCTGCCCATGGCAGTGGATTGGAACTGGATGGGCTTTAAGGTCCCTTCCAACACAAACCAATCTGTGACTCAGATGATTAAATTCAATGAATTTAATACACACTGAAAGGGACTATGGAAAACAAATAACACCATCTCCTTCAGCATGGACAGTCTGCTGTAGTACGGTTTCATGACAGGAACATCCCTGAGTTCAAACTCATCTCTTTCCTTATCTGGGGAGAGCAGTGTACTTGCTGACCAACACCTCTCCAAGGCTACCTCTTCCCTGCACATCTGCAGCAAGTAAATTGGAAAGATACATTCTTCTGACTTTGTTTGCTTCCTCGCTACCTGCTTTTGGGGTGGCAGCAGATCAGCAGAACTTGATGCTGTGAGAAGAAAGGAAGACCCAGTGTTTAAGTGGTTTCCTGGCCTCCAGAATCTCTAGTGCAGCTCTATCTCTGCCACAAGCTATTGGTGTAACCCAAAACAAAGTCACAATTGGTTTGAAGAGGAAATGAACATCTGAGTGTCACTTAAGCTCTCTCTAAGCCCACTCCAGCTTTCTGATGTGGTCCCCATTTGAGGAATGAAGCTATTCTGCTTCCCTTGTGCAGTCATCTCCAGAAGGCTGTTATACCTGTCCTCCAGTAGGATATCTCTCCACTGGGCATTCAGGGAATGACAAATCTAACTGGCTAACTTAAGCTCATCGAGTGTATTTCCTAATGTTAAAAGAAATGGTTCTGTGCCATCGAGCACACCTACATAAAGACTGACACTAGTGGACACCCTCATTTTTTCTTGTCTCTAAGACAGATTCAAGACATTGAGCCTGCTTCCTTGATGAAACTAATGAGTGAAAGTTAGCATCAAACAGCAGCAGACTGAGTCTAAGTGGTCCTTCTCTCTCTTAATATGAAACATCCTTCCTGTGGTTTGCTTGCTGAGTACCATGTTCTTGTAGCAGATGTCAGGCTGAACAACCATAACACCACAAAGACATTTTAGACAATGGACAGAAAGTTTTGTTGTTGTATTTTCTTAGCCAATTTTAAGTCACCATCTAAGACCAAACCTGCTAATCTCTGTTTCTGAATAATGACATCTAGTACAGAGGTGTATTTAGAGCAATTCAATAGCACTTGTTCATGGAAAAAGGTCTCCAGAATGAAGCTCTGGTTACCTTCAAAATGATTAAGACCATTTCTTACCTACAGCAAATTTGTAACCAGAAGAAAATGTTTGATCACCTTTCCTCCTTGTCTTTCATTCCTTCCTTCCTTACCCTCACCATCACTCCAAAAGCACAACAGAAAGCACCAGACAGAGTGCAGTGGCAAAGATGCCATCTAGGAATTTCTCACCTTTTTGTGGGTTACTTGGAATCTCAGTGACTGATCTGCAGCAGCTGTCTGGTGTGGATCCTCTGGGTGAAATTTTCACTGGAATTCTGTCACTTCTGGTCCAGATAAAGTCCTTGTGTCACACAAGTGCTGGGAGAGTTAGAAACTATTTAAAAAGCCACAGTCTTTACAACGCGACATCTGACAGCCAGCCAATCATTCTGTTGGGGAAATATCTAGTTTGGGGTGTGTGGTCACTTAGATATGAGCAACTTCCCTCTTTGTACAGAGCCTGTCAGTGTCATGGCTCTGGAAATGCGTTTTCTTTTTACTACTTCTCCCTTCTTCAGCTAGTCTCACAATGCAAAGAAAGCAAGAATGGTCTGTACAAAATTATACCTTGCCTCAGCACAGCTTCTCATTCCCCAAGGACCTATTGGCCCTGCTGAACAGGCCTTAACACACCCAAACAGTATCCTTATCTAACCCACAGACTCTCCCAGTGCAAGTTATCACTCTACTTAGTCCCTATTGCTTCACACAACCCTTCCTGGAGCAGGGTCCACACAAACTCATGCTTCATCACCACCTCCTATCTCTATCAAAACAACCCCTTGCCAGCATTCACCACTCATCCACACAACCTCACTCATCTCACCATGCACAGACCCTCCATGTGATGAGCTTCCACTATCCTGGTGTCAGATCCACGTGCCTAATGAAATGAGTGAAAACAGAGACATTTCTTCTTTCCTGGCAGTATGCACATCCTTATAGGAACTGTTTTGCAACAGGAGATATCAGCAACTATTGATTTGGGCTTGTGCATTAAGTCACATCTGCTAGTCTGTTTGTCTAGGGAAACAAAAGGAGAGGAATAGGATGCCAGCCAAATTGCTGCCACATGTGTCTGTGGGTAGAGAAACTGGCAGATCTGCCCCAAAACAGCTTTGCAGGCCAGATACCTGATGGTTCATCTTTAGCTTCTTTCATTTTATCTCCCAGTCTGTACTGATAGTGGAGATTGCACCTTGGCCTTGCTGAACTCCATGAGGTTCTCTTGAGCCCACTCTTCAAGCCTGTCCAGGTCTCTCTGGATCCCATCCCTTCCCTCAAACATATCAGCTGCACCACTCGGCTTGGTGTCATCTGCACACTTGCTGATGGTGCACTTGATCCCACTGTTTATATCAATGATGAAGATATTAAATAGTATTGGTCTCAGTTCAGACCCTTGATGGGCACCACTCATTGCTGGTTTCCACTTGGAATTTGAGCCATTGATTGCAGCTGTTTGGATGTGGCCTTTGTCTGCCCTAAGTTATTATATTCAAAATCTAGATGTCTACTTCAGACCTAATCTTATCCTAAAACTGGGTCTGAGGTAGATCAGGGGAATCAATTCCTGGAGAGATCTATTTCTTTCCATAGGAAAGCCTGGAGTGACAAAGACTCAACTTATCTGCCTTCCATACACATAAAACAGGCAAGTTCCTCCCTTGGTTTCCCCATTTCTAAAAGAAGGATTTTTTCTTTCCTGATTCTGTAATTTGCTAACCTTTGCTAAAACGTGCAAGTTCTTGCAAGAGGCTTTATTCAATGGGAGACCAGTGGTGAAATTTCATGCAAAGTAGGACTTTAAGGGTTATCACGAAGTAACCCAGGCCATCTTCTGTCTCTGTGAAAATTTAACGTAAGAATACTGAGAACAGTGTGCTTAACCTGCCCTTAAAAAGACAACTGTGATGGGTAACTCTTTACCACCACCACCCTGGCATGGTGCCTCCCTCTTTACTACTTGAAATATCTCTGATTTTCTGTTCTTAGGTCAAGATTTGTGTTTTCCTTTTGGAATACACAAAGATTTAAAAGCATTGGTTTATTACTCACAAAGCTGTGGCTGCCCCATCCCTGGCAGTGCTCAAGGCCAGGTTGGACGGGGCTTGGAGCAACCTGCTCTAGTGGAAGGTGCTCGTGCCCACGGCAGGGGGTTGGAGCTGGATGAGCTTTAATGTCCCTTCCAACCAAAACCACACCATGTTTCTATGCTATCAAGTCATAGCAGTGGATCTAACAGATCTCTACACTTAGGAAAACCATAAAGCATGGCTTAATGAAGGTCTCTGGAAAGGGCTGACTGGACTAAGTCACATCCCATGCTTACGTGGTTTAGCTATTCAGTTAATCCATTGACTGCCTTTTCTTCTGGAGAAATCCTGAAGTGCCTTGATAATATCATTATCACAGACTGATGGCTACTTCTTTGATATTTCTTTGAATTAATCTCTCCTTCTTTCCCCTTCCTTTCATGCCTTCAATTCATTAAGCCTCCTTGCCTCTCTCCTCCAGCCCCAAGAGCCCCTGAGGTGAGAGATTTCCTTGGAGAGGGTTAAAGAGTGCTACTTAAAGCGTTGTCTTCTCAGCCTTCCTTCTGCTGCCAGGTTGTGAAGGCATCATTCAGTGCTCAGAAATCAGGCCACACAACCCAGACAGCCCATCAGAGCAGCTCTCACATGGGCAGAGAACACTAAGATACACTTGTACAGGAAAACAAGAACCTAAATTAGATGGAATTACACAGCAAAAGGCTTTTCCTGAGCAAGTGTTGGGAGCTTTTCAGAAGCCATTCCGTGATCTTTAAAGACACTTTGCTCTAACACATTCCTTCTGGGGAAGACAGATGTTGATGAGATAGAATCATACAGCCCTTACACAAAAAGTTTGATCTACAGCCACAGAGGAGGTAAGTTTTCCAGATCTTTGGTTCCTTTCTTTTTGTGTCCTTTCTTCTTTTCCCAATTTCCTTCTCTTTTGTTTCACTTCTTCTTGAACAAATGTGAAAATACAAAAAAGGAATTTGCACTAAAGTTATCACCTGTTTGTGGCTTTCTTTGGTTGGAGTCAGGTACAGAACTGGTTCTGTAGTCCCAGGCTGGGTTATTCTGTCATTTTGTTCCCTATTAACCCCCTGAGATTTTATGGAAGAATGCTGGTAATTTCTCCTCCTTTTTGAAATGCTAGTAGTCCTCTTGGTATTTCTTTTGTTTTGTAATTGATTGCATTATATCATATACCTCTAGTCTGCCCCTGAAAAAATACTATTAGATGTAAGACATAGAATCATAGAATCATAGAATAGTTAGGGTTGAAAAGGACCTTAAGATCATCCAGTTCCAACCCCCCTGCCACGGGCAGGGACACCTCACACTGAACCATGTCACCCAAGGCTCTGTCCAGCCTGGCCTTGAGCACTGCCAGGGATGGAGCATTCACAACTTCCAGTCATTGCAGACATCCTCTTAGAGTCAGGAGAAAGAAATTGGCACCTCCACCACATCTTTTAAAAGATGCCTTAGGCTGGTCATGAACTGCCCCACAAAGGCAGAAAACAGAGTGAATGTGTCTGGCTTGGATGCAGGTGACTACAAGACATAAGGAAATATATTGTAAAATATATTGTAACGTATTTCGCAGCCTTCCAATACCTGAAGGGGTTACAAGTAATCTGGAGAGGGGCTTGGGACAAGGGCCTGTAGGGACAGGCCAAGGGGAATGGCTTTAACCTGCCCGAGGGGAGACTGAGATGAGCTCTTAGGCAGAAGCTCTTCCCTGGGAGGGTGCTGAGGCGCTGGCACAGGGTGCCCAGAGAAGCTGTGGCTGCCCCATCCCTGGCAGTGTTCAAGGGCAGGTTGGACAGAGGGGCTTGGAGCAAGCTGCTCCAGTGGAAGGGGTTGGGGTTGGAGCTGGATGAGCTTGAAGGTTCCTTCCAACCCAAACCAGTCTGGGATTCTATGATTCTGCATTGTAAAATGCAATTTGGTAGTGGTGACAGAGGCCTTACGATAACGCATGCACGGTAAAGGTGTCTGTTGTGAGTGGGTGGTATCTTTATAATCCTTTCAGAAGTATGCACTTTCTTTCACTGGGCAATTTCCCACCTGCCATTATTCAGGAATATACTTTTCCTTGATCATCTGTCTCTTGCTCACTCCTTTATGAACCACAGATTGCCTGAATGTGACACTGAAACTGGTGGGGTTTGCTTCCCATCCTGCTCTGGCCAGACAGATTCCTGCTGTTTCTCTTCCACTGGCTATTGCACAGCCATAAATACATACCCATTTTGTCCTTTTGTTTTCAATGGAAAACTGTCAGTGCTAAGTGAAAAGAGGAGGGATGGAGGTAGAAACCAGTATCACATTCTTACTGCTTGGAGATACACCAGAAAAGGAATTATCCATGTAAATTTTACCTTCCCTTCTTGAATATCTTTTACTTTGTTAGCACATATGCAAGCACAGGAAAAGTCCCTAACTTTCCCAACTTCCTCTCAAGGCTTCACTTTGTGGGTTTGAGAGCAATTCTGTTTTTTTCAGTGTTTCCTGTGGGTGCTTGATCAGTATTTGCCTGCACAAGAGTTTCACATTTTTCTGTAGTTCCAAATAGGTGCTATGTAATTTGTGTTAGCTGAATCATTCCATGGATCTGATCCATGGAGCTGCTCTGATCACTGCTTGTGTTTTTACTGGGCACGACTTGCAAAGGTGATTT